AAGTTCAAGTTCAAGTTTAGTTCAATTTTGAACTGAACTTGAACTTGGCCAAAAGTTTAGTTCAGTTCAGTTCATAGGAACACTAGGCAAAGGGTATCCATCTTTTACTATATACTTATTAAGGAAATGCATATCGGCAACTACACGTAGTTGATCAGTGCTACTGTCTTTCTTATTCATCAAAAAACAGTAATAAGTATATTGTCTCATCTTTTTTTCGAGCAACCCATTTTTTAATATCTTGCATAATTGTTCCTCAAATAATTAAGCTCTGGCTGGATTATTAATTCTAAGGAGCCATACTCTAGTAATGGAAACTTTTTTTCCTTAAGTTTAAACCTTATATTCAATTAAATTTATTTTTCCCATCTCCAATAAGTCAAAGGCAAAGACTTCAGGCACCTTCTTAAGCAAACATCTTTTAAGATATTCTCGATCTTGGGTCAAAATTTCTTTATTTATATCAAGAATGATCAGATTATCCCTTGCTAGTCGCATGATTACTTTAGGCTCACTCTTATTTACATACCCAGTCTCAGACTTATTTGCAGTATTCCAATACACTACTTGTTTACAATAGGACTTTGGTAATTGTTTATCATTGACTGGTTCTATTTTATAGACTTTTATTATAGCAATATTTTTAGTATTATTGAATATTTCAACATATGAATTATTTAGTTTATCTATCTGGACCCTTCTTATTATCATGAAGTCTGTATTATCTTCATCCTCGACTTCTTCTTTAAAATCATTATTGTTTTCTTTAGCAACCCATCTTTTAGAAACAACAGAGATGATGAAAGACACCTTCTTCATCCTAGAGATAACTAAACACCGAAACTAATTATCTTTCCATTTTAAATTACATTTGGCAGCAGCTATTCAGAGCATTTCCAACAGAACATCGAAGCTGTCTATTTGTATCATATAAAAATTTTGAACAACAATTACCCTATTGATATCTACTTTAATATTAGGTATATAATCAACAAAGTTACTAACCCTATTATTGGCCATCCTACCCCTTTCTTTAGCTGATTTCCATACAAGACCCTTTTTATTAGCATAATTAACATGCATGAGGTTTAAATGTAACTTGAAGTCAATGGGTATATCGATTAATTCATCATTTATCCTAATTGTCCCCATTGGGATGTCACCTACTTGTTTGTTAGAATTGATTTGAATAGCCTTTACTATACTAACATTAGTATTCAACAAAGCTATATCAGCTTCTTTTTTCTTTCTTGTTAGGGTCCTTAATATTTCCACACAGGCTTTTGATAACCATTTAAAAAGCTGACCCAAGGTTACTATCATCTCAAGTTCTGCAATCTTCTTCAAAATATTAAGTTTCTGAGTTAATTCAGTTAGAGATATGTATATTATCATTTCTTTTGTTTGGAATTCTTGGTTGGTTGGGTTTTCGTTAACTCTGTTCCTTTTTTCAGATAGATCAGGCACAAATTCATCCTTAGGAAGCTTACACTTTCTTAAATTATAATTCCTTACATCAAATATTAACTTGCCCTTAACCATTTCAATTTTAAGATACTCATCACCACCATAGATGTGGCTTCAATTATCTCGAAATATTAGATACTAGCTTCTTGTATGTCAACACTTTTTGAATTGGACTTTCTTGCTTCAACACTTTGATTGGTAGGTAGATTGGGCGGGGCTCTTGCTAGACAATTTCTTAATATGTAGCCTTCTTGGTTACAATTATAATACCTACGCAGGTTGGTTTGATTAGACTGACTATTTGGTGATAGATGGGTGAGATTTTGCCTTTGTCGCCAATTTCCTTGTATATCTTTTGGTTGATTTTGGCTGGGCCAGTTTTGTTAGTTGGGATTGGGTTGACTTTTATTGTTGGCTATATCCTTAACAAGCTTGGTAAGTTCATTAGTGGTAGATTCAAACTTGCTAATTCTTTTAGCACCCTTTTCACTTTGACTGGTTTGACTAACTCGACAAATTTTTAATTTAGAAAAGGTATTAGCCAAGTCATCAACATCAGGGTCTATCTGGTAAGTTGATTTTTTTCCTATTATGTTGGCCTTTTTTAAATTGAATTCATCACTTTTTTCATACTTTTCAATCTTGATCACCCAATCTTTGGCCTCTTCATAGGTTTTAGAGTATCGTTGGTTTATTCTTTCTCTGTACTTGGTAGGAAAACCCTTTAGGTATCAACACTTCATCTCATGATTGATTCTTCACTTTTTTGATACAGGCATCAAAACAATTAGTATATGAAACAACATTTCATTCCTATTCAACTTGAGATTTATCAAACATTCGATCTTTATTTCAATATCATATTTCACTTTGCCAACTTTAGAATAGCATCTTTTATATTCTTTCAAGTAGTGTAGCTTTCTACAATATCTCTGATCCAATTGCATAATGGTCCGGCAACATATAACCCAACTACAAGCCTTATTTTTATTTCATCCCAATCTTTCATGATAGTGTATCCTTCATAATTAGCAACAAAGTTCTCAATAGATTCACTATTACTTCTATAATAAAACAGCTTTGTTAAGTTTTTTGTAGATATTTTTTTTTTGTCATTCACTCAGTTATATTTTTTCAATACAAGGTGGATCTGGCTTTTGCTTACTATTATATTTTGTTACAATTAATAGTTTGGGTGGTTGAGATATACAGAAAATAGAACAAAAGTATTGTTTAATATGTAAGTACTTTAATATGGTTTTATATTATGCTAATGAATATTTTTTTTTCTTATTATGTTGCAAGAGATACTGTTTAATATGTCCAGGTCCTACTGTTGTAGCAAGGTTAATTAAAATATATATTTCTCTAAAAATTTTACCTAAATAAATTGGTTTGTTAATTTCACACTCATGACCTTATTACGTTTGTTCCAGTATCAGTATCTTGCCCCTTTACTCAACAGTAACTTCAACCTTCTACTTTCCAAGCACTACTGTGTTACAAGTTAGGGTTTTAATGATTTTTTACTTATAAACAAGTAGAAGTAGAGGTTCGATTTGTAAGATTGATTCTTTTATTTATTTAATTAAAACCTTAACTTGTAATACAGTGGTGCTTAGAAGGTAAAAGGTTGAAGTTGCTGTTGAGTAAAAGGGCAAGGTGCTGATACTAGAATGAACATAGTAAGGCTGTGAATGCGAAATTAACAAACCAAGCCATTTGGGCAAGATTTTTAGAGAAATGTATACTTTAATTAACCTCATTATGATACTAGTAATTCTGTAGAATTTGACTTTCTTGCTCGAATTATCACCTACTTTGATCTTATCAAAGATCAGAAGATGACAACTCTCTATCTATGTCATCTATTACTAAATACTATTTTGAAACTGCAGAATTTCTTAAACAAAAGTTTAAAATGAACTTTCTACCTATTGACTTTGAAGATGAACTCTTCTTTATCCTATTACTACCCTCTCAACAAAACCCACCTTTTAGAAAGAGGCCTTCTTATAGCAAGAACCTCCTTTTTAGCAGAAAAGTTCAGAACAATAGATTCTAAACCCTGTTATAACCAATTTCTACTTTACTATAAGCTTTTACCAGTCTCAACCCCACAAATACTTGATTCTTTTTTACAATTATTTAAACAATTATAGTTTGATAACAATATAACTATCTCAGTCAATAATACTGACTCAGAAATATATATTTATCTTCCAAATAACAACAATCTCCTATCTAACTATAAAATAATTAAACAATTTAGCTTTAGCAAATACCGAGACTTATCTCTTAAGTCATCTCTTTTCTCAACAAATAATATTAAAAACTACTTAAGAGTAGGGTATATATAGATCATTTTTCATATGATCTGTATAGTATATTGAATTTTTACATAGTAAATAAAAAAATACTTCTGATTAAACTTTTTAACATCTTAGTTAATTTTTATCAAA